CTCCCCCCCACCCCGGTTTTTGTTGTTGTTGTTGTTGTTGATGTTGTTGTTGCTGCTGTTTGTTTGTTTTTGTGTGAGTGTGTGTGAGAGTGTGTGTGTGTGTGTGTGTGTGTGTGTGTGTATGTGTGTGAATTGATTCATTCACCTTTAGCTCCCTCCAATAAGTGAAAACATGGTATTTCTTTTTCACTGCCTGACTCGTTTCACTTAATATTATTCTTTCAAGGTCCAATTCTTTTTCTTTACAAGCTGCTCTCACATACACTAGCCCATTTAATTTCCGCAATATTATGAAGAATCATTATCCTGATTTTTCAGAAAAGGAAATTGAGACCCAGAAAAGCCACACCGTGAATAAATCAAATAACTAACCAGGACCCAAGTCTAGTCTCCTTCTAGTCAATGCAGTACCCTTTCCTATTACACTCCCTTGCTTTCCCGAGGGCCCCAGGAATGGCAAATGGAGATTGCTCTGCATGCTTTATGCTCTGACAGCAGCTAAAACCATCTCGTCCTGCCCTGACATACAACAAATGGCATCCATTGATTTGATAAAGTGAGACCCTTCTCCCTTCATGCTCACTCTGGTACCAAATGGACAGATGCCTGAGATGCAGAGCATGTGGGTCCATGAGCCCCACCCTCAAGCTGTCACCACACATGGCACAAGTTAATTAAACCTGGATTATTTAATGATAGTTAATAAGATAAACTTCCTCCCAGAAGCCAATGGGAGTTGACACTGTTGTCTCTTAACTGGCACTCAGGAGCTGATGAGGCACTTTCTGCCACTAGAGAGGGTCTTTAAAGACTCTTAACAATAATAGGTATATACACTTCCGAGAAAAGGGATGAGGTAAACATGTGATTTCTGAAAATAAGTTAACCCCTCAGCATCCATTTACAGCATACTGGATTTTATGTAGCTAGAAATTTGGGGGCTTTGGCCAAAAGAGGGTTATTATCCCCAGAAAAGTGTTCCCAGGACATCTGAGGCTGAAGGGGCACATGACATTGTTCAGGGTTGGTGTACAAAGTCAAGTTCCCCTGACCGATATGGGTTTCAGAAAGAACCTAATTTCTTATGATAGTTAATAGAGAGGAAAGAACTGGAATAATGGATGTGGGGAGTATTTAGTTTTGAGAAATCCGGTTTTCAATAACTAAAAGTCTTTGCTAAGAATAGACTGCGGTTTGCACACATGATCACATCTATCCCCACCTCAGGAGGATGTTACATTTACACTGACCAGCAGACTAATCTACCTTCATACTTCCTGGAGCCACAAGAGAGCAGACCCATGAGCAGAGCAAACTGACGACAGCAGCTGGGACCAAAATGTTTATGGCTGAGCATCTCCTGGGCTAGGACATGGGGAGAAAGCCCCGCAGGATTTTTGAATCTTTAGGAGACACGTCTTTTGCTAAAAACTGTTCCCTTAGCCCTAAAGAACCTATTAAAAACAAAGAGAAAGAAAAAGAATATCAGTTTCAGTGGCTGCTAGAATGAATATAAATACACATTATTACATATCTAATATTTATATTAATATCATTATTTTTAGAATGTATTTGTTATGATATCTATATTATTGTATTCTTCATATATCCTGGAACTGCGGTTTCCATAGTGGGGATTGGATCTAACAGAATCCATTAATGACTGTGATTTAATTATCTTTAATTATTTTCTTGTGTAATTATAATAATACAAGGAAATAAGACGAAAAAGAGCTCTGCATTTGACTCCAGTTGCTGGTTTAAGTGGCTTTGTGCTTTAACCCAGAGTAACAGACAGTGGTGATACAATGAGAAGCCCTGTGCTAATTTCCAGGGAAGGACTGATGGTTAAAAAAAAAAAAAAAAGGCCAAAACATGTGAATAAAAGGTAGACGTACCCAAATCCTGGATTTGTTCTGAAATATACTGGTTAGCTTTTATTATATACACTCATAGCTGGGTTTTTTTTGTTTATTGTTTTTTGTTTTTAAGTTACCATAATTTCTGTGGGAATAAATAGCTTTGCTATTATAGGTCCGAAATTATCTAGCCCTCTTTTTCCTTTAGAAACTGGCTTTTAAACTGGGTTTTCGATACACAGGTTTTTTAGCAATGCTGCTATTGCATTAGAGCAGAACAGACTATGTAGTATAGATAGCTATATAGCAGAAATAGAAATTTATAGAGGGGCCGGCCCGGTGGCGCACTGCTACAGTGCGCTGCTTGGGAGCGCGGTGGCGCTCCCGCCGAGGGTTTAGATCCCACATACAGACCGGCCACTCACTGGCTGAGCAAGGTGCGGGTGCA